AGAGGGGCCAGGCTCCTCGTCAGACTGTAAGTCTGGAAGCTCCTCAGAGCCTTCCTCTGACTCTGATGTCACTCCAGGCCCCTCCTCCTCCTCCTCTGATTCAGCTGCCGGGTCCACTGGCTGGCGAGGAATCACAACAGTTTCAGGGTTTTCTCATACATTATTCGAAGGAGTCGGGTTTACATGTGGTCTTACAGAATTGGTATTTGAGGCGATGACGTCTTTTTGCCCTCCAGGAACTGGTGTTCTCAGCATCTCCAGATGCCACTATCCGTATTTGGTCAGTCTCTGGCGCTTCCTGTGTGCAGGTTGTACGAGCCCACGAAAGTGCTGTCACAGGGCTTAGTCTCCATGCAACTGGCGATTATCTTCTGAGCTCTTCTGATGACCAGGTGAGAGTGAATCCAGAATATCTCTTCGCCTAGATTTTTTTTTAAAAAAAATAAGAATTCAACATAACAATAATGAAAGTCACGATTTTCTGGCGCCAACTGCTTATACACAATCTCAAACCTTTGCTTTTTATAGTATTGGGCTTTCTCTGACATCCAGACTGGCCGTGTTCTCACCAAGGTCACCGATGAAACCTCTGGCTGTGGTATGGATTTTGGACTTAGAATCTAAATTTAGTATTCTGTGAGAGCTGCTGGAGTGAGTGCAGTCTCAATGTGTTGGGCATCTGGGTAGGAATAACCTGGTTGGAGCTCCCTCACTTACGCGGTGATCCAATATTCTTTTCCTGCAGCTCTCACCTGTGCTCAGTTCCACCCTGACGGGCTTATTTTTGGGACAGGAACAATGGACTCCCAGATTAAGATCTGGGACCTAAAGGTAAGAATTGGCTTGTATTATGACAATGTTGGAAAGTTTTACTTTGCAAGACTGTTTATTAAGGATTTGCTGACACTGACCGTGCATATTCTAAAATATCCTTATCTTTTTAGAGCTTTGAATGACAAATGCTCTAACGCTATAAACTAGAGCTTGGAGATTTAGAATATCCCAGAAGTCTAGTAATATATCCTGCATAGTTTTATTTGTTGCTTATCTGCTATATTATCTGGTGTTTTAAATTCATAATATTATCTGCTGCTTTAAGTTCAGCATTATATTTTATCTCAAGAGTACTTTATGCTTTAAAGCCTTGCAATGCATACTTTTTGGAACACGTAATTAATCTTAATGAATTGAAATTTGAACTCAGAAATATCACTACTATTTAGATTGTTGGTTAATGCTTTTGTTCATAAGTAGGTATGGCCTTGTTATATACCATTATTTAGAAAGTTTTCATGCTGAAACTATAAGAACATGGAACTCGGCTTCTTTTTAGTTGCAGGACAAAAATGAGGGTGATGTTAAATATTCCTCTTCCCTAGAAGAATAGATTCAAAGAAGGGGATAACTTGAAATAAACCATCTCTTCATGAGTTATAATCACCGTTCTTCTGAATCAAAAGATAGTTGAAACAATTATGTTTATGTTTTTATTGCTGGATTCAATACAAAGATTTAAGGTATCTACATGACTGTGTAAACTAGTGTCTTGAGAAAATTTTTAGAGAGGTGACATAACAGTTTCTTTAGTTATCACTATGTTGTATCACCTAAAGCGAATGGAAGCACTTTCGCGACACACTAAAGGCTAATTTTATTTTCTTTCAATTTTTTAATCTCTTGAAATCTGATCTATCTATCTGAAGTATGTATACTCCTAGGTATTGCTGTTAATGTCACGTTGAGCTCAAAACATTATACAGGAATATTATTGAAAGGACAATGATCTCAAAGGCAGGGGAGAGACATGAGTTGTATTTCCTTGGAGGGTACATCATCACTCTAATAGCACTCATTACTTGCCTTCCTCAGGAGCGGACTAATGTCGCAAACTTCCCTGGACACTCTGGTCCCATTACTAGCATTGCCTTCTCCGAGAATGGCTACTACTTGGCCACTGCTGCTGATGACTCCTCAGTCAAACTCTGGGATCTCCGCAAGCTGAAGAATTTCAAGACGCTGCAGCTGGATAATAACTTTGAGGTTTGTCTAGTTGCATTTTGTTTGTCAGTTGTACGTTTTTGAGTCCTCTGTATTTTAATATAGCCACTGAAATCTCCTCTGACAGATTTTATCTAGCTGCTTTTAAAGCTTTGAAATCTCTTCCTTGGGATGGGACAAAACCTGTTTCCTCTGTATGAGAGCTTGGTTTCTTTTGAATTGTGTGCACCCTCACACTGCAGACTCTAAGGAGCTTACATTATAGTACAATACAAAATAATCCAAACCATAATAAATAGTCAGTAGTTCCCAAATAATTACTGGCTAGGTTTAGTTGTGACATAGACTAACCTTTATTCCAGGAAGACTGCAGAAGAGCAGTATTTCCTGAACATTAATAGGGAAGGCACCATTCCTGACATTGGGAGGCAAACTATTTCAGAATGTAAGATTCATAGCAGAAATGGTTATTTCAAGGATCCCATTTCCCTTAAAGTAGGGATTTACAGCATGTTCTCCCTACTTGTTTGTATTGGCTGGGTAGATTTAAAGTAGATGCTTTCAGAGATGTCCTAGAGCATGTGAACATGCAATGCTTTGCTTCTAGAAACCTATTTTCTGTGCTTTTCCTCTTTAGGTGAAGTCTCTCATCTTTGATCAGAGTGGTACCTATCTGGCCCTGGGTGGTACTGATGTCCAAGTGTTCATCTGTAAGCAATGGACAGAAGTTCTTCATTTCACAGGTATGAGATTGTTGGCATTTGTATGACTCTCCAGAGATAACTATACAATATGTCTTTTGTACTGGTGGTTAGCATCAGCACTTCGGTTATTTCTGCTCCCTTCTGTTTCTTTGAAGTGGTAATCATAGAGTGAAAAATATCTCATCTGACTGTCCTGTCTTTTTTCTACAGAGCATAGTGGGCTGACAACAGGAGTAGCCTTCGGGCACCATGCTAAGTTCCTCGCGTCCACAGGCATGGACAGAAGCCTGAAATTCTACAGCCTGTAGCTTCAGTTTCTAGGATGCAAAGCATCTGGATCCTATTCTTTGCTGTAATGAAAAACTATGGGATAAGCATGGGGTGTTGGACTGATGGAACATCATGTACATTATAGCTGCTGATGTCAGTTTTCTGTAGCATGGAAAATTGCCCACAGTTTTAAATATATTTGTTTTCCTCTGTGTTCGTTTTTCATGTAGATCTGTAACAGTAACAATACTTAATCAAAACCCATGCACTGCTGACTCTCTAGTAGGGATAGTGGCAGAGATGAGGATGGAGAAAGGGTTGGGGAGATGTGCAGTTTTTTGTATGCTGCTCTCTAGTTTCATTAAAAAAACAATATTCAACTGTAACAATGTGCTTTTGGGTGGTATCTTACATTTCAAACATTTGTATATTGAACTACATTTTGTCAACACACACATGTTGGTTCTGTTACAAATATTTATACATAACAGCTTTTGCATTTCTCACAGCATGAAAAGGTATCACATTGCAGCAATTTTGATAATGAATTCCTTAAATTTGAATATTTAGTATTCAGTATATAGGCACATTCTGAAGGCAGAATATTCTGGTAGCCAGCCATTGAAAAGGAACATTTAAATACAATCTCAAATAGGGAGCATGCATACTGCTTTGAAATGTGAAATCTGTTACTTGTTTCATTACAATAGACAGTAGTATGCTATGTGAACCAGGACCTGATTTGCATAAGGTGCCTTTCTGTGTTTAGATATCAGTGTGGTTTTGATCAGCCTTTTTCTCTTCTTATTTCCAAATACTTTCATTTTAGTTTCATTTCATTTCTTTCATAAATATATAAACATATACCAGTACATTTTATTCTGTATAAACATTGCTCTAAGCATCACTTGGTTATATTGGGATAAAACAAAGTAGTTAACCATGTTTTAATCTAACATTTTAGGCAAATCCATCTTCTGTGGTTAGTTTATGGATCATTGTGTTAGGCCAGAGGATTGAAATAACTCAGCAAACTGGTTAAATTAATCCTGGGAAGTGTGTTATATTACCACAGCCCCAGCACACTGTTTTCTTCAAATCCTGTTTTCAGAATTTACCTCAGAACATGCACACAGGAACTGTCACAGGACATTAAAACATCTAGTACATTTTAGATAGCAATATCAGAGATAGCCATATTTGTCTATAAGTTTGTCATTACACTTATTCAGAAAACCTAGATAGAATTTTTTTTACAACTTCTTGATTGAAAATATGGAACTGCAAGGTTTTAATTTTTAACGGTATCATATTTTCAGTTCTGAACTGGAAGACAAAAAAAAGTTTTTGCAACTCACACAACTTTGCTAGTGACATTGCCTCTTATATTCATGGAGATAAGCAGGATGAAAAGGTAAGTCATAGACCTTGAACAATAAAAAGCAATAGCTAAGATTGAGCAGATCAAAACAAAAGCACATCAACTTCTCCAGAATTTTTTTCAAAGAAGCTCAAAGTCCCATAAAAGCAGCTGAGGCCAGACATGTCAAACTCGTGACGTCGCGCAACGTATCGGAACTTTTTCCCCATTGCCGCACCAAACTGCAAGAAGAGTTAGGAATTATGCACTAAATTAAGAGCTTGCCCAGCTGAAGTAGTAGATTTGAAGATACACTGACTAAAAATATGAGAGTCATTATTAGAGAATGAAATAGAAGTAGGCTGATTTCTGATGAAACATTTTCCAGCATGAGGTTTCTATCCTGGACAGCATACTTTAAAAAAGGGATGAACTTCTTTTACTACTTTATTGGCATGGCAATGCTTTCACCACCAGTCTCATCCTCCTACCATCTATGCACTGAGTGAAAGAGGAATGACCACAAGTACAAACTTTTATACTGAAAGGATCCTGCAGAATTGGTTTCTGACCAAGTGGAGGCAGAGAAGCCAAGAGGCTTTTGTGATAACTATTCTGTTATGGGAAAACCTTTTCACGTAATTTACACAAAATACAGCTTACACTGAATTGGGAATATAGGTTGGCATAATCAGGAGTCTGATGTTTATCTGAGAATCTGTTCTTTAAAAAACAGAAGCAGAAAATTTGGATTTGACATTTGGAAAATGATTTATATTACAATTTGAAAATGGTTTATATTACAATTTGAAATTTGTAGGAATTTGTAACTGTCATTCATACAAGGAAAAAAATCAATTTATACTTTATTTCTATCAATTAGATACTCATTATAATATAATATACTGAATAAGCTGTTTAGAATCCCTTTGAATATAGAAGAAATTTTCCCAAGAAAACTGCAGGGACTTCTCCAGGCAGTTTCCAGGAGTCAGGTCATCTAAATTTCATACGAAAAGTAATTTGGTTACTGCTGTTTTCCAAGTCTGACTAGAAATATTACATAGGTACTTTCTTGTTTTGTTTTGTTTTGCTTTCTGCATTGTTTCTAGCTTCGCAATTGACGCTGAATAAATCTATTTTTCCAGTTACATATACTGTATTTCGAGACCCGTTATGCCGAACAAGTGCATGACGGGAATGGTAGTTTTTTCTGGGTCCTCCGGATCCGGAAGTAGATTGTTTTTCGCCGGAGGGTTAGGTCACGCGGCGCGGGTTGTTCTTCTAACGGGGCGTGACAGAGAGAAGAGAGAGAGAAGAGAGAGAGAAGAGAAAGAAAGGAGAAATTCCGCTTCCGGCCTGGGCTGGAGGTTCGCGCGCTATTCGTGGCCTGCGGTGTGGTGGCGTTTTAAAAAAAAGGCTGCGGCGGACTCCCGGAAGGCGAATCTTCCTCCTTGGCCTCGTGGCCCCCGAAGCAGCCATAAGGATTAAACTGAGGATTGTAATATTGCAACGTCCACGGGGGGGATTGTACTGCGCGCCATGTCTCTCATATGCTCCAGTGAGTGACCCGCTTTCTCCTTGGCTCCCGCTCTGCCTTCCCGCACAGCTGCGGCCCCGCACGGAGGGGGAAGGCGAGAGAGAGAGAGAGAGAGAGAGGCAGGCAGGCTCCCCTTTTAGCAGCAGCAGGAACTTTGCAGCAACTTTGGTGGTTAACTATGACAGTTTGCGAGTATTGCTCTGCCTGAGGGCTTGTAATGTTCACCGTCAGTGGGATCGCATTATGGTCGCTGTTGTAAACTGCAGGTAGACAGACCTAGGTATGAGCTGAGAGGTTGTCACAGGACAGGAAAAGAAATTCCCCCCCCTCCTCTCCAGAAGGCAGGACACCAAAGAACGGATTCAGTATTCTGTTTCAGTGTTAGGAGGAGAAAAACCCTTCTTCACAGTTTGGTACATCTTAGGGAGCTTTTTTTTTTTTAATTGATCACATTTTTAAAAAATAATGGGGTCTGCTGGAAGCAGTAATTTTTGGGAAATACTGCTATCAACTACTGTAGGCGTCCCACATCTCTAGCCTTTCATTTCGTTTTTCTTCAGCAAAGAAATGTGTATTTGTCTCTGCATATCTTATCTCTTTTTTATTTTTTTTATTTTTTAATTTTTCCCCCTTTAGCTTGTGAAAGGGAACGTTTGTATATTTTTCTTCCAATCACGTTTTCGTTTGTGTGATTACATTTTAATTATATAAATTACAGATTCGGTGATGTGGGCATACATTGCATTTGCATCTTAAGGCTTTAAGAAGTGTCTGTGAGCCTGATTTGCATAGATAACATATATTTTTAATAGTAGATTTTTAAAAGATTTTATACTAAACCGACTTTTTACTTATCTTCATTTGGGATTTGATATTTAACTGAATATTACCTTTTTGTAGTCATCTTGTGAAGGTAAATGTTGTGCAAGGTCCTGTTATTTCTATACATCTTTATATCCAAAGACAATTTAACATGGTTTGCAGAAGATACTTGTTTTATTCCCAATCACTTACCTATTTTAAAGCTTCATGTCTACCATTTAATCTATACTTTCCACAAAGGGAGAAATACCTACATAACTTTCTTAAGATTTCTGCAATATATCAATTATCCAGTTCCATTTTGGGCCTAAGTAAAGGACTTGATTTTAGTTACCTTCATTCTGTATGTTGAAAACCAGGGTGGGGGGAATGGACTCATACATCTGTTTTCTTGATGACTTTCAGTATTAGTATATATCAGAAGAAATGGATGGACGTTGGTCAATGTTTCATGATGTGTCTGTATTTAGACTCCTGTTTGGTGCCTTTAGCATGGCTTTATGGCTTTCTTCAGTATCCCGTCTTGCCCTTCGTGCTATTTAATATATGTATAAAACATCTGGAATTTGGGGAACCAGTATTACCAATAATTGGTGCTACCAAATCCTGTCTCTTCTTTCCAATGAAATTCAAAGAATCTTGCTATTCATTGAGGCTTAATCAACACAAAACAAAGATACTGTATTCCCGATCACTCAAAGTACAGACTGAGCATTAGATATTTAATCTATGTTATATAGGATTATGCTGCTCTTGAAAATTCGGGTCTTCACTTTCCATGTAATCTCAGATTCAGAGTTGAATATAGATGTCTACACTTTAGTGGTATCCAGAAATGCATTTTCACAACTGAAGTTAATACACAAACTGTGCTATTTTTCAGGGTATCCTGTTTGCTAATAGTAACATATATTTTAATTATATCTCCCCTGTTAATATAATGTGCTCAGCATAGGAATGCTTTGAACAATGCTTGATAATTTTCAGCTATGCTGCATCCAGAATATTACATTGCGATGGATTTCTAAACATCTGATTCCCTTATTCCAGCAATTTTACTGGTCAAGATCACTCAAAAGTTGTCCCTGTCAATATACTGACCTTGAAACAGTGGATTGTATTTTACTGCGTTGCGATTTTTGCAAGAATTTTTGGCAGGATATGAACACACATATTTTAAAATTGAGACCAGGGAGATATATTTTTGAATATGTTAAAATTTTGCTCTCAGAGGAAATTTCTAAAATTACAGTGGCAAAGGCAAATTTTTAACTATGGCTAGAAAAACAAGTATCAATAAATTCATAAAATTAAGTTTTAAAATGTTTTATGACCTATTAACTGTTAAACTGTGTTATCTTACGTCAAACTTTTAAACTACAGCATACCTGTATTTGCTACTTATGTGTTATGGCCACAGTAAACATTATTTACTGGTAGCATACTGGTATACACAATTTTAAATGGGTTTAAAAGTTTTTAAGCATAACTTTTTACGAATATTTCAATCTGTCTTAATGCAGTGATAATGAACCTTTTAGGCTTGGTGTGTCAAAAATTTGGAAAATGCCTAACTTCACCCTGCTATGTGTCCCATCCCCAATGAACAAAAAACAAATAATTCTGTATCTCCTGCCCATTATCTAGGCCTCCTGAACAGTGGTACTTGGCAGCAGTGCTGAGGCTCAGCCTGAAGCACCAAGGATCCCATAGCATAGCTTGTTACATTGTATTAATATTTTCAAAATGAAAGGAAAGATACATATTAATATTGTTGATAGAAGACAGGCCTGTCAAAAATTGATCCTGTTGTTTGTAAATGACTAAATCCAGCATTTTTTCTTTACCTCCTTTTTTCTTGCAGTTTCTAATGAGGTACCAGAGCATCCCTGTCTGTCCCCAGTCTCAAATCATGTTTATGAGCGAAGACTGATTGAAAAGTATATTGCAGAGAATGGGACTGATCCAGTAAACAATCAGCCACTGTCTGAGGAACAGCTGCTAGATATTAAAGGTAAGGAAGATCAGGAGAATTACTTTGTTGAATGCAGACTATCTAATCTGACTGATCTCTTAAAACCTTGTATGAAAGTCTTGAAAATATTTGTTAGTTTATTGTAAGATGTAAAGCGATTCCAAAATATCAGGACCAGGTTTAAGGAGAGGATTGTTCAACAGATCCATTTAGAACAACATTTCAAAAATGTGCTATATGTATACATCTCATTTATTTATTAAATTATATGCTGCCCATCTCCCTAACCAAAACAAGTCTTGACTAAAATGTATATCTGGCACTTCTCCCTAGTCAGAAATACCATCTCTGTTTACATTCACATTTTCTCACTTTCTACTTTGTCCATTGTTTCTATGTTGCTCTTTCCATCCGATTTGCTTGAACATCTGTCTCCAACTATATATCAATGTCTGTGGTCAGATTTGTGTCCTTTCTGCAGATTTTTTCAGTTCCTTTGGTTTTAAAATAGCAAGGCATAAATATACCATCTTTGCTTTTCCAGTCCCATCCATAGTCTTAAATTCTATCCCCAGCTGGATCACACTGGAAGAAACCTCCACAACAATAGGCAAAAAATAATTCACTAAAATTAAAGTTGACAAAACTGTCCTAGCCACGTTTTAAAGACTTGTGAAGGTAAATATTGGGGTTCTCTAGAATTAATGCTTGTATATATTTCATTCACAGTTGCCCACCCAATTCGGCCTAAGCCTCCTTCTGCTACCAGTATTCCAGCTATCCTGAAGGCCTTACAAGATGAATGGGTATATATATTTTTTCATACAGTAATCCAGAATTCATACTTTATTGTGAGCAAGTAAGTTCTGCCACTCGTGTAACATCCAGAAACAGATTTTGTGCTCATAGAACAAGGGATTAGTAAAAAAAATAAAAAATCAATAGGTTGATTTCAGATGTCATGAAAGCTATCCATTTTCACTTTGCTTTTCCTGTTCACAAGAGTGGAAAG